GTGTGTTTGGAATCCCGTACAGATTTCTACACTCATTGGGTTTGCATACTCACCATGCGATCCCTGTGTCCTGGGGCATTAGGAGCAAGTGAGGAGGTGGCGGTGTGCAGGGGGCTGCGTGCATGGCTGCCTTTTGTCAAGAAAGCCTCTTGGGTGTTTGTCCTGAGGTTTGCACTCCCCCCCCCCACACACACACACATGCATGCACACACACGTGCGCGCGCGCGCACACACACACACACACACACACTTCTTATTTTCAGTCAATGTTAGGAGCCCTGTGAGCTCAGCCTTATCCCTCAGCTGAGGCCTCTGAAAGGGAACACTGTCTCTAGGACCAGCTCCCTAGGTGCACTCGCTGGGCCAGGGAATAGAAGCAAGCAAGGGTCTGTAGGACCTTCCTTCTGTAGGAATATCCCTGCTGCGTGAGTGAGAATCAGCAAGGCAGGGGCTGACCCTTGCAAATGGGCTCAGGTTATTTTTTGGTATCAGAAGAATTTGGTTCAAACAATGGTGTCGCCGATAGCATGGGCAGCTTTAGGGCAACGCCTGGTTCCTGGCCGCGGCCTCGCAGCGTGAGTTAAAGGAATCTGCCCGACACTAGAGGACACCTTGAGAAATCTGCTTTAACTGCCTGTGTGAGCTTTGGGTGCCTGTCCAACCACCCTGCTGCCTCAGCTTGTGTTTGTGCAAAGGAACCATTTCATAGATGGCGTTTAGGCTTTGGGGTAACTATCCCAGTCCCTTAGGGTTGTGTTGTTCCCTGGTGGCTGTTTTTGCCGTTTCACTGCTGCTGGAAGTTAGGAGAGAAATGAAGAGTGCAGCTGGTGTTTGTCACCCCTGCAGTGGGCTCGTCCCTCGGCGTCACTGTCCCTGCACTGTACTTCAATTTCCCTCTTACTTGAAGTGCAGGACATTCTGGTCATGAGTCATACATGGACATGGGAGGGGAACAGTGTCACAGCTCTGGGTTTTCTATTCTTGAGGCACATGAGAGGTGGGTAAAGAATGAGCTCCCAGGCTTTGTTTAATTTCTCTGACCCAGAGGGACGGTTTTTGTTTCTATCTTTTGGATTCCCTGATTGGATCGTTTTCTCTCCTGCTTGGTGGAGACCCAGATTCTCCTGCTTTATTCCAGCGTCTTAAAGGTTTGCACTGACCAAGGGCTTAGTTCATGGAGTAAAACTCAGGCCCTGTCACAGGGCCGGGGAGACGTATGGTGACAGGCTCACCTGGGCTGGGCTGGGGTCCCTCAAGCCAGGCTGGGCTTGTCTGTGTCCCCTCAAAGCCTATTTTATTTTTACTCAGTGAGGCAAAATAATATAAATGGAAAGTGGGAAAGAAGAGAAAATGACTCCAAAGCTAGACACTCTGGGCCGAATCATAAATACACTTTCAAGGAACTAAGCCAGCTAAGACCTCTGTTTCTGAGGCGTTTCCCATCTCTCCCTGAAGCCTGTGCTTAGAGCAGTTAATTTATTCTGTGTTAGTGGAGCTATGTAAATAATAATTCTGTTCATTTTTGATTTTTCTTTTTGGTTTTTTGAGGGGTAACTGGGAATCGAGCTCAGGGCTTTATGCTTGCCGGATAAACACTGTGCCACAGAGCTATGTCCTCAGCCCTCAGTGTTTTAATAGATCAAAGAACTCCCCATTATCGGCATAGGTAAAATTATCCCAGAATCAAACTCTGAAAAACATAGTGTGTTCCATGTGGTACACTCAAAACGAAGTCTTGCGTCAGGGCTGCAATTTTGTGACTGTTCCATTAGACCCTGGAGGAGAGGATGGAGGCATTTGTACGTGTGCTAGAGTGTCTCAAAGCCCCCACCGTGCCCACCACAGCCTTCTAGGACTGTTTCTGTTGACTTCTGAAGCCCTAGTTGAGATTAATAAGGAAGATCATAGTTTGCAAATGTTCAACCCAGCAATGACTGTTGACTGTGAATGTCCTCCCTGGGCCTCCCTGATCTGACAGCCTCTCTTCTCTCTGACATAAATTCAGTGGCATTGGTGCTGTTGATAGGAGAGGGATGTGTGAGTGTGTAATTCTAGAAGACAACTTTTTTTTTTTTTTTTTTTTTTTTGGTGCTGGGAATTAAACTCGGGACTTGCGCTTGCCAGGCAGGCACTTATGCCACTGAGCTGTCTCCCCAGTCCAACTTTTTATTCTCTCCCCCGCCCCTGGTACCAGGGATTGAACTCAGGACCTTGGGCTTGCCAGGCAAGTGCTTATTCTACTGAGCTATCTCCCCAGCACCAGTCCAACTTTTTAAAATGGTGTGCTGAGTCATATTTTTTTACTGGTTAGCAGAATGCTTTGGGAAATTCAGTAATAAAGAAAACCTAAATAATCCACTTTTACTTTGTGTGTACTGGTATCTTTAATCCAAAAAGATTATATACTTTAATGGCTATCTCTAGAAGCTGGCTGTTAGTTCTGTACATTCTGTAGTATGTAACTTAAAGTTTGCTCAAAATTGATTCTTAAAATAATAAAGTATTAAGTTCCTAGCAATGCAAAAATAAGTAAGTAAGTAAACCCAAACTCCACGGCTCCCTAGTGATTCACAGTCTGTTATCTTTCATGGGTTAGAAAAAGAGCTATTTGGAATCTATGACTGTTCCCTACACAATGGAGAGCAGTTTAGTAAATATTTACAGAACCATTTCAACTGCAGATGAGTTTCATCTCAGTCACATGGGGATTTTGAAGACAGTAGCTTCCTCCTATTTTCTTTCATCTGGAAAAGAACTAGATGTAAGCCAGGTGTGGTGGTGCATGCCTGTAATCCCAGCACTTGGGAGGCTGAGGCAGGAGGATCACCGTGAGTTCAAAGCTAGTTTGGACTACATAGTGAGGTCAGAGCTAGCCTGAACTATGTAGAGACCCTGTGT